GAACCAGGAGGCGGCTAGCTTAGCTTAGCATAAAGTGAAAAAGTGTATTTCTCAAAATGTTGAACTATTTCTTTAGTATTGTTCATGGTACATATAACCACCCATTATACTTTACTTGCTGTGGGGAAAACAGTTAAATTGATTGGTGTCAAAATGAGGATCTTCATGTTTCCTATGCATCATAAAATGGGAAAATCCTCTGTAGTTATTCATAAAGTGAAAGCAAATGGTACCATCATTGTGCTGAAGGCTGGCACATTGTGGTTTATCACTGTGCCACTGTTCAGATATATTGACGAAATACGCTGTATAACATCTCATTTGTTCGTGCGGTTGACACCTTTTCACGCAGCCTTTTTGAACAACATCTTCTGCAAATAAGAAAAAGAACATCATTTAACTGTAGCAGCCTTGCAACAGATTGTTTTAAACTTTGACACAGTATTTTTTTCAGATACTCTTTTTCATTGGTCATGATTTTCCTGAAAAACTTGTCAAAGTCATTACAAATGCTGTCAGTGCATTTCTGCTGATAGTAGTCTTCTACATTCTGCAGTACATATTTGATATATGCATTTCATGTGCTCATGCATACCAGGTATACATCCTAATGGTGTACTGTACATGCTTGCTCCTCCTATGGGTTGTCTACATCATTGAGGCTTTCCACCAAAGGAAGATTGTTTCCAGCTGTCAAAGACTTTGTTGTAACAATTTCTGCAGCAGTATTTTTAAGTTGCTGATCAATTATCTCAGTCTGCTTTTTGTATGGGTAGCCACTGTTCTGTTTGATGGAGACTGGTACTTTTGCCTGAGGACAAACCTCAACCCTAATCAGACTGGAATTCCTTGCAAAGCAAATTTGAGCCAAGAGGAGAAAATCATTTAATTAAACCAAAACAATTTATGTTGTTTTATACCTATATACAAATGTATTTTTAAACTCACAATAGGCAACATTTTGTCATATATTATGTTACACAATGCAGAACACTGTATCCACTGGAGTTGTGGTGTCCTCCTCACTACAGAGTGGTTCATGAAGATCTTCTGGAAGAGCAAGTGAGTAGCCACTTGAAAGACGAGCTAACAAAAATAGCAGCAGAAAGAGCAAAGGCAATTTGTAAGCCCCTCATTCGAGTTATTAGGGATCACGAGGACACATTTACTTGTGATGGCAACGACAATGTCAACGACAGAGTTTTGGAAGCCTGGAAAAAGATTTCAGCTTCAGATTTCTCTTTGATGGAACATGAGAGGATTCACATGCCGGACCAGAGGCGTTAACAGAGTAACGTTCATCAGGGAGGATGGACTGTGACTGTGGACTGTGTGTTCTAACTGAAAAACTTAATTAATCCTGGACAGTTTAATGAAGAAGAAACAAGACATCATTGTCTTTATTATTATCTGAGCCATAATTTGTAGGTAAATGACATTCTGTAAAGTCTACTTTACAATAAAAAGAATAATTTACAAACTTTTAATCTCCTAACTACAATATTTTCATTCCTAGAAGAAAATGCATGTGGTTGCTTCATCTTCTGCAGCTGCTTCTGGTGATTGATGTGTACATTAATCAAAGTTCTGTAATTTGTCAAAACATATACAGTTGTGCATTTTCACACTAAGTACAAGGGACACAGGTACACCTTTGAGAATCTCAAAGTATTTTAATGATACTCTGAAATGAAGGTCAAAAACGTTTTACAACCAACCACATGGTGACGCTATTAACACCACATTTGAATGCTTCGTCTTTGCCTCACAGTTCAGGAGTTATTCACCAAAACACAAAGTATTTTTAACTGGCCACAAGATGTCCAGCTTCTTTGTTGTGCACATGCTTATGGTGAACTTGTGCACCAAATTCCCAGAATTGTAGAAATATCATTAATGTTACTGTAGCGCCCCCTGTGAGTAAAATTGTATGAAACCTTACACACTTGTGCAAAGGAATTATGTTTAAATATAATATAGAAGCAGTAGAAGCAGCAAACACACAATAATGCACCAATGCTAAACCATTTTCTCACAGATCCATCTCATATTGGTTTCACATGACAAATCATTCCAGTTGTTTCCCTCCCCTCCATATATGATGTGGGCACAGTCCTCTTGCCCAAGAGAAGGATGTCCTCCATTGTTATCAGGTTGCCCACTCCGCCAATACCGAAAAGGTCTACAAACACAACAATAATGACATTGTTTTACATGAACACAGTCTGTTATTCCTGCTATTCACCAGGAAATGCCACCAAGACCTAAAAAACAGTGTGGGGCAGTGTGTTGGTGAGGTGAGTACAGGTGTATTTTAAATTGCATTCATTTCTTTTTTTTTTTGACAAACGGGAGTTGTCCTCAGATTGTTTTAGCAAGGTTTAGCTCATTGATTTTAGCCCACAACTGCACTCTCATAAGCATCATTTTCAGCCACTGCAGGCAGCTGTTTCCAGCAAAAAGCTCTGATAAACCCATTGTACGTTATCTGCCCGCACCCAACAGCATTCAGACAAGGTCAGTGACTAGCTGGTGAACATAGAACATTTAGCTCAGTTTAAGTGCAATTTAATTCAACATTACACTTAAAATTCAATAGGTGGAAACAACTCCAAATGAATGTTCATCTGTGTCTGCTTGATGTTCAGGCTGTTTACAGGTGCATCTCAAAAAAACAAAAAACATGTATACAGTAGTTCTACTTAACCAGACTAAGAGATTAAAGGCAGGTTGAAATTTCTGTATCATAATGTCCGTATTCTAAAATTCTAATATTTTGAAATACTAGATTTTTGATTTCCATGAGCTGTAAGCCATAATCACCAAGATTAAAACAAAACAAAGGCTTTGAATATTTAACTTCATTACACATGAAGCAAGATATTTAATGTGTAATGAATCTAGAATATATGAACGTTTCCATGATTTTAAAATCATACATACATTGTGATGTTTCTTATTATTTTGAGTTCCTCTTCTTCAAAGTAAACTGCTGGACCAACATTTGTAGTTTTTAATATTTGTACACAAATAAACTAGAAACTAAATGTACATTTGTATGTGACGATGTGTGCCAGCCTGTATGGTAAGAAGGAAATAACAATACATCTGTTTAGTGACAGCTCTAGAAACATTCTCTTAAAAATCTAAATTTATAAACATCACTTCCTCTTGGTTGAAGATGAAAGTTGACCATGATTAAAAGAACCATAGCACCATCTAGTGGTATTTCTGGGTAAGATATACAGTACATATCAAAGTTTCCTCCTCACTAGAGGAAGAGGTGTCCAGGCTGGACCTTGATCCTTCTCACAAGAGGTGTTACAATAACTATCACAATAGAAAGTAAACTCAATCACGCGTGTCTTTATTCCCCTGCAGCAAAGTCGCAGGCATCCGCCCAAGGATCCGTACGTGATATCACCAGGAAGCACTAAAGCCGGCTGCACATACAGGTCTGTGTGTGCTATTTGTTTCAGAAAATAGCGACGCTACCACCAATTTGTAGTTAAACTAGTAACGCGACGCTATTGCCCAACACTGTGCATAACTGCCTTATGCAAATAAGGAGGGGGTGTGTCTCAAGTGGTGAACTTATCCCCTCTGTCAGCTGACTGATGGTGGATCAGTCAGACGAAGGAGGTGGACACTAAACTCACACATCAACAAGCCTTGCTCCCCACACAGTAAGAAGAGATGGCTTCCTTTAGTGAACTGAAGTGATTAGCAACTCTATTTGAGGACAATTCTATCAGCCATGTCTTCCTTCCTTTTTGTTTGGACACTGACAGTGTTTTCAGTTTGTGGCATGCACAGACACAGAACTGCGGTAAAGTGAGCCGTTGTTTGTGACAAGCAATCGGTCAGCTAGTAGCAGCTAAATCTGGAGTGCACACGTATCTAAATATTTAACTAGAATATATGAACATTTCAGTAATTTATTAAATCAAGGAACATTTTAACTTTTCCATGATTTTCAAAACATATATACGTGGTGATTCTTTTTATTATACCTTGTTTTCATGGTAAACCATAGTACCATCTGGTGGTTTTATTGGGTAAGATATATTTCACAAAAAGTGGTATAGTTGTTTGATTGCATCATCTATGTATATCGTGAGTGTGGTCCAGCCGATTAATTTCAAGTCAGCTGTTGTGATACTGATTCCACTAAGAAATATTTGTTGTAAGTTCTGTTATTTCTGATGATTACAGATGCACTAAAACAAATACATTCTAATAATAAACTATAATTACTATGTAATTTTGTTTATATTCAATCAAGGTAAAGCTGCCTTACTGTAGAGACAGTGGAGCTCCATTAATCCACATCCAGGTCCCCTCCTTGTCACGATCAGTCAAACCAATCCAAGCCATAATTTCTTCCTTGGTGAAGTTAGAGAGGAACATCTGTTCAATAAACACAACAGAAAGTTACAATATTTATATTTGAGTTTGAATAATATTATACTGCAGAAGATGTTAAATTTAAACATGAAATGAACCTTACTGAAATACAATGATTTTCCTTTAGTGACACCAGCATGCTGGATATATCTCAGCATCTACTTGATGGATAGGCACCAAATTTTGTTCATATATCTATGGTGCCCGTAGGATGTATGCTAATGACTTTGGTGACCCTCTGACCCTCTGTTTTAGTTAAGCAATACTTTGACTTGTTACGAAATACCTGGAAAATGAATAACGTTCCCATGAGCCTCAGTTTTACTTTGTGTTCAGTGCTGATTAGCAACTGTTATCATGCTAACATGTTAAACCAACACAGTGAATATGGTGAAGATTATAGATGCTAAACATCAACATGTGGGCATTAATATTGTAAGCATGCTGATGTTAGGAAGCTAAGAACATTTATTTGCGTAAAATTTTTCACAAACACTGCACCTGTTCTTCAGAGCTGTTTATGACCACCAGATCTGCTCCTCTGGTTTTACAGTCCTCTCTACCCTTTTCCCAGGAACCAGACTCATTAGAGAGGAAATAACAGGGGCAACTGAACATCCTCCATCCTGCAGGACATGATTCTGTAAGGAACAATGAAACGTTAAAAATCTGACAATAGTTAAGTGCCAAAGATACAATATAGATGTTAAAAACATGTATTCATATCCAGAATGAAGGTGGTTTCCAATTTATACATAATAAAACATAATTATTATTCATCATGGCTTAATGGTGTTGCAAATACAGCAAATGTAATTAGAAAACATAGGTGAATCTCTTTCTGTCTCTCCTAACAGTCGCTTTCTCTGTTTCTCTCTCACACATAGTGGGAGGGGGAGGGGCAAGACTGTTGAGGGCAAATTAAGGTATGAAACTACCACTACATGACAGGGTTTGATCATGGCACATTTGAGGCTTTGAAGGGGATTTTAAAATACACAAATAACTGTCTTGACAACTACAAGGTTTCACAAGTGTTGGCAAATTTCACATGCAAAACTACAGGTACTGTTAACAAGCCCTCCTTGTCATGGTCCAGCATGGTCTCTCGTTCCCTGTGTTTTTCTGACGTTTTGTAATCAGCCTACCTACAAGGCTCACCTGGCAAACACCAACATAGCATCACTAATGGCCTAATAAGTTTTTTAGATTCCCCGAGAGCTTCTTATCTAAACAACACAGTTACATCTCTCATGTGCGACGGGATGTCACAGGGTCATGATGTCATTTTGGGGCCAACACAGAACCCTCTACAGTCTTTGGTCAGCTTCACTCTTCAAACATTCGCTTACCTGCTTGGTTCCTGCGGCAAACCTCCTGCGCACCTAATCAAACCTCTGCAGTATATCTACCCTGGCTTTTCAGTCCAGTCTTTGCCAGGTTGTTCAGTTTACAAATGTGGTACTAGTGCTACAGACAGGTCTGTCGTTCCTTGTGTCTTTTATTTTATCTAACCTTATGTCTCCCTGTGTTCAGGTTCCATATTCACCTGTGATCTCACTGTGCCTGCCTTGCATCTCTCTGGTCTGCAATTTTGCACATCTCACTTCCAATCCATTGGATTACTTAATAAACTGTGTAGATCTCTCTGTCCTTAACACTACCCTCCTGCAATCAGGTCATGACTGACGGGATGTCAGTACTCTTTCAAGATACGATATATATAATTTGTTGCATCTGGACAGAACAAATAGATGAAGATTAGTATAAAATTGTATTAAAGACTGGAACAAAACTATACTGTCTGTAAATTAAATGCAAGTAATATTAAGCCCTTTAGCTTTGTAGTTTCACTGTGTTAAACTGGTGGTTACAGCGGAAAATGCTGCACAAATGTATCATTAATTATATCTGTACTTTACCTGCAGTCAAAATGTTTGCTGTCAATAGGGTATATCATGTTTCACATATGTGGTGACATGCCTGTTAATTTTAGATACACTTTGCAGATCTGAAATCACACATTGCTACGCATATTGTCTGCAGTTGCCACACTTACTCAGACCGTTCAGCTCTTCAGTCACTTTAATGAGGCTGTTGTTCAGCATGTTTCTCTCTCCAGTCAGGGTAGACACCTTGATATCATGGTCCGGAGACACTCAGTCAGGTTGGCTTTGATAGCTGAGAGATCTGCAGCTAAATGTCATATAATAAACCAAGAGACATTTTTTAAGTTTAATATAAGATAATTAGAAACAGCAGGTTCATGCGTGAGGCTAGAAAATGGTTTGAAAGAAATCTGTTTTTTGTATTTCATTATTTTAAAATGACTAAAATGCCTGTTTGGATTTACTACTACATTACTGTCAATCTCCTACTCTATATTTGTTGTGTTCTTACCTGGACTTCTTTTGTATGGTATTTCCTCTTTATACAGTATATGTAGTGTTCCTTACCAGGGGCTTGTATCCCGAAGCAAGTTCAACATACCTAGGATATCTTTCTTATCCGGCTTCACTAACTCTAACAATCGCATTCGGCATAAGCGGTCACACAAAACTGATTATCAAGCAGATGACCAATCGCAAACTTGAACAAGCCCGCCCACAGAAATGACTGGGCCCCTGAAAAGGTCCAGTAAATGGGCCCTCAACGCATTCTGTGCTCTCTCTCTCTATCTCCTACATGAACACATACATGGTCTGCCGTTTGACGTTGCGTACAACAAACAGTACTCATACCATCTTCAGGAGAGAAGAAGAAGAAACAATAACTTGTATTTTTTTGTTTAATAAGTAAAGTGAGTATTTTGGGTCAAAATAAATTATCTTTTATATAATGAACATCATGAGTGCTGGACTGCATGGGACCTCCTAGCAGCTGGGCCCCAGAAAGCTTTCCCCTTTTTCCCCCTTACGGGCGGCCCTGAAGTCTACTGGCAGCAGAGCTGCATATTTTACAAACGAAGAGTAAACTATAGACAGTTAGACATAGACCGTTAGTAACACAGCTGCAGCAGACACATGTAGTAAGACAAACAAATCTCAGACAGTGTGAATGGCTAAATGAACAGGCATAGCCTATAATATTTGCGTTGATTTTTTGTGTTCTTATGATGTCTATGAAAACATTAGCCTTATTCTTTAAGCTCGGCTGTGTGTCGCCTTTTCTACATTAAAAGACTCGGGCACTGAATAAGTGGTCGTTCCACTTCACTTTTAATAACTTCTCATCACTTCAAAAATAAGATTAATGTATTTGTAGCACTCAAAAGTGTTCTAAACATTGTTCCAAATTACCTCCGCAACTTAACAAAAATAATAATTGAAAAAAAAAGTGGTTGAAAGAATGAATCGTAACCAGGGGGGTTGCTAGACATATAGCTCTAGTGGGGCACAGGTCCCCTAATCCCCTATGTAATTTATTTATTTATTTGTGATTTAAGTGTATGAAATGTCTTAGTAAGTGCCTTAACAGCTTCCCTTGCTTAACCGTTAATATTGGCATTGTCATGTCAGAAAGGGCTTTGAACGGAGCATAAGCACATATACATCAAGCATAGCGTTAGTTCAGGCAGCTAACGAAGTCAAACTCCGCTCATTCCAGCATATAGCGATAGCAGCCATCAGTGCAGCTCCGGACCATATGTGCGGTGCACACAATGGAGACATGTGGTACTCCCTGTTCGCCACAGACAGACACCTGTTGAATGAGTGACTGCTGCAACTAAACTTTACACATGATAAATAAATGCGTAACTAATGTCAATGATTTTAACCAGCACATGGTGCAGCTTGGGTAGCGCTTAACTAGCATCCTCTGCTCCTTCTTAAAAGGTAAGGTACTTTATTTGTTAAATAGACACACATGTAGCGAAATTCTTCCTCTGCATTTAACCCATCCCTGAAGGGAGCAGTGGGCAGACACAGCGCCTGGGGACCAACTTCAGAATGAATGCAGGTCAAACGGCACTGACTGGAGAACCTACTCTAACATGTTTTTGAAGGACAGCTTCAAAGGACAGCTACGTGCAGAGGAAAAGACGAGCGCTACTTTCTGTCTGGCAGTAAAATTTACACAAAGTTTACAAGATATTTACATAGACAAAATTACAATGAGTTTAAAATATGTAAAACAAACATAATTAGAAAGACTAAATGTAGAGATCTACCTACCGTTAATTAAAAACAAGTGCATATGTCTGTCAGAATGTCAGATATTCGTTTTTTAAAAGCAGCTAAGGAAATTCATTCCAGGACGAAGGGACATAGTAAGACAGACTCCTCTTTCCTGCTTCTGTCCTCATTCTTGGTACCTTACAAAGTAGTCCATCAGTAGATCTTAAATGATATGTACTTTGAACACACTTTAAACAGATATAAGAAGGCAAAAGACCTAAAGTAGCTTTATAAATAACAATGTACCAGTGTAACATCCTTCGCAATGTGATTGCCTCACTGGCCTGGGAAACACTGGACCTCCTGTCGCAGGGGGAGATATTCCATCCCTATGAGAGGTTAAATCTGTCTGCCTCTGGGCTTCCCCCAAGTGTCCTTGCAACTATTCAGGGAGCCAGAGCATCCTTTACATGTTGTGCTTCTGCAACGCGTTCTCATCAGTGCATCATTGCGGACGCTTTCAGGCAGCGAAACAAAGTGTAATTGTTTGATGCTAAAGTTACCCTTCATCCGTATGATATGCCACAGTTTGCTACATCGCAGCAACACAAAGGAGGCTAACCCTACCCACTACCACATCAGCCTTTAGCTTTTTAGTGTCACTGTGTTAAACTGGTGGTAACAGCAGAAAATACTGTACCTATGTGTCATTAATTAGATCTGTACTTTACCTGCATGTCAAATATTTGCTGTAAATAGGGTCTATCATGTTTCACATATGTGGCGACATGCCTGTTAAGTGTAGATATATTTTGCAGAACTGTGATTACACATGGCCACACACTTTGGCCGTCATTTATCAATCTTCCGTAGAAACGGGCCTATTTTTGTGCGCGAGATTATGCTTACACTGTTCTCAGCGCCTGATTTATCGATGAGAGTGTACCCTCGCACTTAAGGTGTACGCACCACCTGGTGTTGATAAATGCGGCGGCTTAAAACGTGCGTAATTTGAATGAAACGCCCCCAATTATTCAAGCTTCAGGAGGCCGCACCCACGACTTCACGGCAGGGACTGACGGAATACGGCAAGAAATACATGGGTTGAAGCAGGAAATCCACAAATTTAAACTTAAAAAACAAAATAATATGTTGTTTGACAGATTTAAAGAAAGATTATATGTTTAGTTTCACTACTAGAGCCCATCCCCGGCATAAATGTTCAAAATATTGTGCATTTTAATATTACGAGATTTTTCTTTTGGAAACAATTTAATACTTTCTTATTCGATGATTAACTGGACACATTTTCCACAAATGTTCAACAGGCTTAAAACTGGAAACGAGCATTCAGATGAGCCATAAGCCCGAGAGCCCAGTGCTGGAGTCAGGGGACCACCGCGCGCTGTCGACTCGCTGGAGCGGACCAGTGCGCGCTGTCAGCCCAGAGGAGGTGCGCTCATCCCGGGAGGAGCAGGCAGGGGCCAAGAGCCTCTCGCTGAGCGTTTACTTTGATGAACGGAGGACATACGGACAGATACGGGCCGTGTACCCCCAGCGTGCAAAGCAATCCTTCATAATGTTTTGTGGCTTTGGGAAACAGTGCTCTGCGCTGTCGTGGGACTATTACGCACGGACACGGGTCTGGACGCCCACGGACTTGGATCTGACCCCCGCGGTGAGTGGTTCAAAGTGAAACATTGTCCAAACACAATGATGAGCTGCACCACGTCTGTACCACCTGTTTGTGGAGCGCCTTCCGTGCAAACTAGAAGTTTTGTCTGTTCCTAGAATTATAAATTGGCTACTTGTGGTGCTCCAACAGATAGATTTAGCACTGCTAAACACCCATCAAAGTTAAGTCCCAAATAAGCTCCAATGAAAGTATGTTGCTCTGATAAAAAGCTGCTCCATCACCTCCGGGACTGGGCTTTGACTGACCCAGGACTCAACATGAGCCGGGATCAGCGTGCACCAGAGTCCGGGGACGCGGGGCCTTTAGGGGGTGTCGGTGCTCGCTGTTGCTGTCATAATATAAACTTTAATAAATGCAGGGCTTTGTGCGCGACATGTCTGTGCCAGCCTGGGGGGTGTCCATTTCGGCAGCCAGTCTCAGTGCTTCAAGATCTGTTTATGCTCTTCGTTGTTTGTATGCAGTATTTATTTACCTTACAACTTTTTTGCTCATAGCCTTTCATTTGAAGGTACAAATCGTATTAAAAGCAAACCCAAATAAAAGGCACCTAAAGCTACGATAAAATAGTCCAAATACAAATCAAAGCATGTTTTGACTGCTCAAATATTATATAGGCTGTATAAAGTCCGTGTTGCTCAAATATAAACACCAAAAATAATGTTCAAACGTTGTTTCTGTTACAGTGGGTCATAATATATCATATCTTTTAGTTTGTCAGTGCGTTTTGTGGTGTTAGGGAATTGTTTTTCTGCGCATTTCCGCACTAATCAAAACTTACATCTATGCAAGTTTTGACCTCCACCTCCTAACGGGCGTAGGTTTGAGCGTGCCGTACGCCAACGTCCATATTGATAAATCTCAAAGTCACCGTGGTTTTGGGTGTAGGCCGGTGTACGCTGGAAATTTGGTGTAAGC